AAGCCCTGGCACTGGCGAATTTTGAGTGGATAAGTGTGATGAGAATAGGTTAAGTTGCGTGTTGGTTGAAAAATTGTAATTAGGTTAAGGATAATTGTAAGATTTTGTAATTTTATTTTGTAAAAGGATCCTCGAACCCTGCTGTGCGCAGGGAGAGTAAATAAAAACTATCTATCTAACTATCTAATTGATTATTAATTAATAATAATAAATTCATTTAATTTTTTATTAACAGAAAATTATAATTAAACTAATATGGAATTAAAAAAAATTAATTTTTAACTAATTTTATTATTTTTATATTTATTATAAATGATTGTAAATATTTATTAATTAATTTATTTTATTTTTTATTTATTTATTTTTTTTATTTGTAAAGAGATAGCCCACGGTATAAAACCATTAAAGGGCACTACATAATAATACAAAATTGATATAAGTACAGCATAGAAATAATTATAATATACAAAAGCCTAATCTTAAAATAAGATTGTCTAGTTATTAGACATTCTTGCAGTGTCATCGACACGACAAACTTAGAACTATAATTTCTAGGAGTACTTTAAAGTAACATTAAAAAAACTAGACAGAAGTTATGTCTAGCCAATATCAAATTCAACTTGAATCTTTGACGAATGAGAGTTGGTCAGTAACTTTACAGTTATTTACCAGTCCGCCTAGAATCAGCGTCCGTGACAAAAACTGTCCAGTAACTTGAACAATCGAGTGGCTCCATGACAAATTTCTACTCGGGGCGTAGCTGCCAGTACTGACAGTGCTGGCGCAGTACTCCGCCAGTTGTAAATTTCATATTGGGAATAAGACTATTTTTAACTGTAAAACAAATAAAAGTTAGTAGATCATGAGACAATAATATATGCATTTATTCAAAAAAATTTATTATTTTTGGATTAAAAAAAACATTCCTCTGGATGTAGAAAATGTTGAAATGTGAAATCGTACTTTTATATAAAGAATTTTTTTTTTTGAAAAAATTGAATTTAAAAGACATTTTGAGTTTTATAAAAATTTTTAATAAATGGTTTTTAATGTTAAAAAAATGTATTCAGTAAGTCAGTGACATTTGAGAAATGCATTTTATCATTTCAAGCACGTTTTTCTTCTTAGCGCGAAGGTCAACAAATGTCAGTCGCGCCTCTTTACTAAATGTTCTGTCTAGATTATAAGTCTCTTTTTGACAAATAAAAGCGCATCTTGACGGTCTAATTAGGTGGGCAATTGTCCCCTCTCTTCTCTCTTTTCCCGCTATCAAGGTCTTTCGTGTTTTTCTTGTCCCGCGTAAGAAGAGAAAAATTTTCCTGCGACGAAACAGAGATTAGTTGGACGAAAGTATTTAAATACCTATATATATACCTATATATATATTTCGTGAGTTTATTTCTCGCATCTTCTCTCAGGGTCGGTTATTGACCACTCAACAACGACCTACACATTTCCCCATGTAACTATTATTAAAATTTTTCCTCCCGAATTCTTATTCTTCGATTTCCTCTTGAATCCAAGGTTAAAAATGCTAACAAGTAAGCTAAAAAAAGCTTCGTTTATTATGTCAATCAGCATTTGTATTTTTTTTCATTTTTTACCTAGGTATAATATTTAATTTTTTTCCTATGACAAAATTCTATAATTTATATATATACTATACTTTTGGGTTGCTGCGGTAAAATCTTGGGCACGTGACAGTCCCAAAGTTGTTCAGCTGCAAACCAAAGGCGGTATTCCCACTACTTCGGGAGCTGCTCACCAACATTTGGGACTGTCACGCGCCCAAAATTTTACCGCAGCGCACCAAAACCATAGTGGAGCTGCTGTCACATACGTTGTTCCGCTACAGTCTCAAAGGTCTCTCAGTGCAGGTATCATGGAAATTTTAATCCTGCTGCAAAAAAAATTATATTATATATAAATAATATAATAAAAAAATTATAATATATTTAATATTACCTATATTTGATAAAAGAACCGTTTGTCTAAATTTTAGATTCTAATAATTTATTTTTAAATTAAAAAGAAAAAAGAGAAGTAGATGAAAACTGTTTTTTGAAAAGCAACAATCTTAACTCTTAGTTTATACTTTGAAATTAGATTCATGAATATATGGGCAAATCTCTGGAAACTTTAACATTTTAATTTTTTTGAAAAATTTTTTGTGTGCACAATTTTGACATTTTTAATATTACATCTTCGACCAAAATATATTTCATTTTTATTACTGTACAACCATTATTTGGTTGCCTTCTATTTTAAAATATACATTTTTGGAAAGAAAATAATGTTAGGTTATCTAAATCTGTAACAAGATATACATAAAAATTTTATCTCCTACACTTAAGTAAGTTATTTCTCAGTATCACAAAAACATAATTAAACATGAAAATAAATATAATAAACGTCTAATACAACTAATAAGGACAAAATTACAATAAAAAAAATTAATGAAAATTTTTTACGTATAATTATATGAAATAGTAACATGAAATTTTCTAATTATTTGATTGGCTGAATTGTTTTGAAGAAATATCGAGGATCTTAATATAACCTTGAAAAAACACTATCAGTTTCATGAACGTTTAATAAAAAATAAATAAATATTACTTAACCCCTTGGCTGTCAACGAGATTTCTACTGTTTGGGCCAAAAGTGTGTTGAAAAAATTTTTAATAGATTTTTATGAAACTTGGTACCTTAAGGGTTTCTGGGGTCGCTGATTACGAATCTGACATCAGTTTTTCGAAATTCAAAATGGCGGATCCAAGATGGCGGAATTTTTTCAAAATTTGTCGAATTTGCTTGAAACTTGTTACTCGGGGGTTTTAAGGGTCGCTTCTTACGAATCTAACATTAGTTTTCCAAAATTCAAAATGGCGGATCCAATATGACGGACAACGAAATAAAAAATTGATAAGATTGGCTTGAAACTGAATACTTGGGGATTTTCAGGGTCGCTGATTACGAATCTAAAATCAGTTTTTCAAAATTCAAAATATATGGTTGAATATGGCGGAAAATTTTTTTAAATTTATTGAATTTGTTTGAAACTGGTTAATCCTGACATCAGTATGATAATTTTTGGTGAAATCAAATTTCGATAAATACCTTGAAAAAATAATGACAGATTCGTAATCAGCGACCATAAAAACTCCCGAGTATTCAGTTTCAAGCCATTACAAATTAATTTTTTATTTTGTCGTGCGCCATATTGGATCCGCCATTTTGAATTTTAGAAAACTAATGTTAGATTCGTAATCAGCGACCCTTAAAACCCCCGAGTAACAAGTTTCAAGTCAATCTGATCAATTTTTTATTTTGTTGTCCGACATATTGGATCCGCCATTTTTAATTTTGGAAAACGAATGTCATATTCGTAATCAACGACCTCGAAAACCCCCGAGTAACCGGTTTCAGGAACATTTAAGAAGTTTTTAATCACTTTTATTAAGTTGCGCATATATATGCGTCATGAACCACTTTTGGCCAGTTTAGTTTTGCGCATATATGCGTCAGCGACAGTCAACGGGTTAAGTGCCTTCCGTTGATAAATTTTTCATTCCGCGTTTCCTTTTTTTCGCTTTTTATTTTCTTTTCTTTGATTTTCTTTCATTTTGTCACTTTTTATTACATTTTTGGTTACTTCGCGATAAATAACATGGAACAAATAAATGCGAAACTTCAGATTGATTGGAAAACGATTGGTTTGACCAAGCGACATATTTGACGAGCGACAATTTGAATAACCACGTAAAAAAATAATTAAATGAGAATTAGAATAAATAAAAACATATGCACATTTTTAATTACATCTAAAGTACACGGAAAAAAATTAATCTCTAAATTAGAGATTAAATCTGAGATTTAGGCATAAACTATCACTGGAATCGGACGTAAGATGTAAGCAGATCACTAAAACTGAAATTTGGTATTATATCTAATCCGAATATTAGTATTGTGAAGAACACGTATTTCTTATGCCTAAAAATGATATTAGGAATCTCAAATTTTATTACATATGGAACATATGTTCTAAACTATCAACTTACTTGAATAAATTCAAATCTAATATATTATTTGAATAAACAATATTAAAAATTTTAATCGTATATTTATATAATTCTTATTTTTGTAATAACTCGATGTAATAAGAATTTATAATTTATCACAATTTAGAGTGAGAATTATTCACAAAATATTTATATTGTTTTCCCTGTATGAACTATACATTGACAAGTATAAAAAAGTAGTTGGATATTTTTAAAACACAATACGAATTTTATATTTTTATTTCATTTTTTTGTTTTAACGGCGTTGGAAAGTCTGTAAAATTTGTAGGTTACAATTATTACCCGACAAAATACGACACTGACTGATTTAAATGACGTGAAATAGGTAAATAAACATTTTGCAACCACTTTTTCTCTAAACACAGACACTTTTTACAAAATAGGCCAACATACAACGAGTAGGAATCTTCTTAATTACCTAAATTCAAAAGATGGTTTAAATTCATGCAGAAACGCGGTTGTAAAATGTAAAATTGGAAAGTGATGTAATGCTAAGAATATAACAGCTGGACCATTGTGCTCTCTGCATGCTTCTGATTAACTTAAAACACAATGTACCTAATTCATATAAAAAAAGTTGTGAAATTAACAAATCTCTAAATCAGAGATGTGAATTTATGGCGTTTTCTGGTATAAAGTTTGACAGAATCAAACACAACTTATCACAGTAATTGTGACTATAATGTTTAATTTAGATACACTTATATTTCATTGGACTTCAAATTAATATTATTTCAAGTTTAGAGATTAATTTTTTTCCGTGTAATATGTGCCCCAATTTTGGAGCAAATTAAATATTAAAATTACTTTTTAATTCATTTACATATATAACATGATATCTAGATACAAACTATTTCGCTTTTTTGTAATGCACTGCTTATTTTACATTTTTTAGGAAAAGGATAAAATAAAAAGTATACTAAAAAATTTCTCGAGCACCTTCTTCAGAAAATTAAGAGAAATGTGCTATATAGATAAGTATGAAATCCTACTGAGTGTTCTTCACTTACAGCTAAGTCAAGTGCAGTTCGATTGATATCGACATTAAAATCAATCATTTTTTCAAATTGATATAAAAAAATTTTTTTATTGTTTTTCTAAGACTAACACTTTTTTATTCTAAGTTTTATGATACTTAAATGTAATATGAAATGTATAAAATAATAAACAATAAAATAATACTTTAACAATTAACAAATTAGGTGTTGGTGAATAAAGTGCATTATTATTTTTATCTTTTGAAGATGCTTTCAACGATTACTTGATGCAAGATAAAAGAAGAAAATGTTCCGTCAAGAGGAAACGTTGCTTTTTGACCCTTTTGGACACTATAATAACGCTTTTTGTATCTTGAGCGTATTTTTCAAAAGAAGGAAAATAGCGTAGAGTCGAAAGAAAAACTATGACAATGCGCGCAAATATATATTTCCCTTACTGTTATAGATTTCTTTTATGGCCAGTCGTCATGAACAATTTACATTTTCTTATAGTCAACAATAGAATTAAAGAATTTAATGCCTATAATATTTGAGGAATTAATGTCTTTAAAATTTCGTTTTCACTTAAGCCTAACAAGTGAAATGTAAAATGTATATACTATTTCACTGATTACTCCGATAAAATTTTAACTAATAATTTGTTAAAATTCACGGTTTAAAAAAAAAACATTCTTAGACAAAAATGTTGATTATTTTCATTCTGAATGATACATATTATACTTTTTATTAGTACGTTTTTTTATTATTATATTTTTTGTATTATTGTTTATTATTATTGTAAATTTATTTTTGATTTATACGCTTTATCCTAATTGAGCTCCCGTGTCCAATAACTCGATCTGCGCTTGAACTGAAAAATTCAAGCCAGTCAAGCCGTCAGAAAATGGAAAAAAATAAAAATCGGAATTTTTAATTTTAAAACATACTACCGTATAGAGCATAAAAATGCTCAAATTTTTTGTCTTTGAAATTTTTTTGTAGGACTTTTATTTTTAATAATAATGAACAAAAACTGAATTTTTTTATTCTTAAATTTCATTGAATTTCAAAACATAAATCGACTTTTCTCAAACAAATCTTAATGAAATTAATTAAAAATTGATATACTTACTTATCAGGGTCTACCGAAGACGATGAAATGATTGAAACATTAAAAAATGTTTATTGCAAAATTATTTGTTAATATAAATACAGACCTGTCGGTAAATACGTTTTTGCAACACTAACCTGTAAAATTGAATTTTACACACAGAAAACTGTGTGTAAAGTACTTCTTTTTATAGCGGTGTGTAAAGTGTTACTTTACACACCGCTAGCAGTGTGTAAAGTGAATTCCAGTGTGTAAAGTGATTTTCAGTGCGTAAAAAGGTTACTTTACGCATTCTTGTGACTGTTTGATGAGAAACAATGAAATAATGCTTTTAATTAACAATTTACAATCACATTTTTTTATTTTAGCTTCTAGAATACTTCATTTAACAGTTCCCCACTACACCTAAAGTTACAGTAATATTAGCAATATTGCTGCAAGTATAGTTGTTTTAGTGTTGCAAAAAATTTTGTATGGCACTCGTGCGTAAATCACTTGTATCATAAATAACTATTTCTCAACTTTGACGAGAAAAAGTGTGCGGTGAACTTTCGAGTTGACACAACTTCCAGTGAGACATTTGTTTAATAACGTGTGAAGAAGTTTTTTGGGAATTTTTATTTAAATCGGATGAAAAATAAAGAAGATACATAATGTTTAAAAAATATGCGTCGAGCGGCGTTTTGACATTTTGACGCAAGAGGAGAAAACTATTGGAAACTATTGCTATTTTCTGTTGATTTATTTAAAAATAAGTTTATTCATGTATTATATTTAAAATAAAAACAATTCTATACTTTAGAATTGTTATTAATTTATACTATAACTAACTATACTATACAATTGTACAATTTCTATACTTTATATTTTAATATTATTAAATTTTTTATTATTACTTTACTATTAATTTTTAATTTTAAAACACGTGGTTTATTGAAAAACTTAACAGCAGTAATAAAGTAAACTGTATTTTCTTTAAAAAAATACAAGGACCTGCTTTGTTTACATTAACGGTGTTGCGCAATTTCAAACAGTGGTCGCCTTTTAAAAATGTCTGCTTGAACGTAAACGAAATTTCAAAAGGATTTTTCTCCCAATTTGGACAATTATTGCAAAATAGGGAAAAATACGAGACGCATGCATATCCCCTAATCGCCAAGTCGTCGAATGATCAAATAGTCGAATGCCAAGTAATCGAATGGACAAAATGTCGAATGCTAAAAACATCGAATCGGCATTTAGTCGAATCCTAAAAACATCGAATTGTCAATACGTCGAATGTTTAAAACGTCGAATTGTCAATTCGTCGAATGTTAAAAATATCGAATCGTCAATATGACGAATGTTCAAAACGTCGAATTATCAATTCGTCGAATGTTAAAAACATCGAATTGTCAATACGTCGAATGTTCAAAACGTCAAATGATAAAAACGTCGAATGCTAAAAACATCGAATCGTCATGTAGTCGAATGCTAAAAATATCGAATCTTCAGTTAATCGAATGCTAAAAACATCGAATTCTCAATTCGTCGAATGTTCAAAACGTCGAATGTTTAAAACGTCGAATGCTAAAAACGTCGAATGTTCAAAACGTCGAATGCTCAAAACGTCGAATCGTCATTTAGTCGAATGGTAAAACCATCGAATAGTCCATTTGTCGAATGCTTAAGGGGTTATGCCACTCTAGAAACCGAAAAAATAGGCATTTTTTGTGAATTTTTTGCAGAGAATTTATAAAGTCAATTAAAATTGGAATATGAGGAGTTTATTGTACATCTTTTGAAGTTTAAAAATATAAATTTTCATAATAATTTAATGAAAAATGGCGACGCTGTTGGGGTTTTCCGTCGACATTTCTGTGGCGCATATGGTCCGTGGCCGCACCAACTGTTCCCGTAAATTTTGAAATATCTTGAGTATATAATTTTTTATTTATTGTACATTACAATAGCTAAAGCAACACGTAGGATTTTTTCGATATATTGATCCATGGTCAAATGGCGCACTTCTAAAGTTAACCTTTCTAAATTCTACCAAAAAATCGTCAGTAAATTGTTAATAACAAATGAACAATACAAAATAAAAAAAAAATCCTACGTGATGCCTTAAAAAATATATTTTCAAAGATGTTTGTGAAGTTTGAACTTAATCGGTTGAAAATTGTACGAGTTGTTAGTGCGGCCAACTCGAAAAATGTAGTTTTCAGATAATCGCGTTTAAAGTTTAAAGTTAATATGCTCTTCACATGCTTGACTATGCCTAACTGACTGAAACAGACGCTTGCATACTGTTTGTGAAGCCAAATTGTGTAGAATAGACTATAGTTTAGACAGAAAAGTAGCCTTATACCTGCTCTAGATCCTTTAAAGATCACCTCCCGTAGCGCGCTAACAAAAGGACCTCGCCGCTACGAAAATACGAAACTACGAAAATAAATTACTTAGAGATTTTCCCTAGCCGTAATACTACGATATGTTATTTCTGATACCCTAAGGGACTATTTAATGCAAAAAAATAAAAATCGATTTTTTTAAAAGCCTAGAGTGGCATAACCCCTTAAATAGTCGAAACGCCATCTGTTCGAATTATCAAGTAGTAGAATCGTAAAGTTGTCGAATGTTCAAAACGTCGAATCGTCATCTGTTCGAATTGCCAAGTAGTAGAATGGTAAAGTAGTCGAATGGACAAAAAGTCGAAACGCCATCTGTTCGAATAATCAAGTAGTAGAATGGTAAAGTTGTCGAATGTTCAAAACATCGAATCGCCATTTAGTCGAATGCTAAAAACATCGAATCTTCATTTAATCGAATGCTAAAAACATCGAATTCTCAATTCGTCGAATGTTCAAAACGTCGAATGATAAAAATGTCGAATGCTAAAAACATCGAATCGTCAACATGTCGAATGTTCAAAACGTCGAATCGTCATTTAGTCAAATGGTAAAACCATCGAATAGTCCATTCGTCGAATGCTTAAATAGTCGAAACGCCATCTGTTCGAAATGTCAAGTAGTAGAATGGTAAACTAGTCGAATGGTAAAGTAGTCGAAACGCCATCTGTTCGAATTGCCAAGTAGTAGAATGGTAAAGTAGTCGAATGTTCAAAACGTCGAATGATAAAAACGTCGAATGCTCAGAATATCGAACTGTTAATTCATCGAATGCTCAAAACGTCGAATGCTAAAAACATCGAATCGTTAAAAGTTCGAAAAAGTTCTTTGTCTTCAGTAGACATTAACTTAAAACAAAGAACTTTTTCGAACTTTTGACGATTCGAGGTTTTTAGTATTCGACGTTTTGAGCATTCGACGAATTAACAGTTCGATGTTCTGAGCATTCGACGTTTTTATCATTCGACGTTTTGAACATTCGACTACTTTACCATTCTACTACTTGGCAATTCAAACAGATGGCGTTTCGACTACTTTACCATTCTACTACTTGACATTTCGAACAGATTTAAATAAAAATTCCCAAAAAACTTCTTCACATGTTAATAAACAAATGTCTCACTGGAAGTTGTGTCAACTCGAAAGTTCACCGCACACTTTTTCTCGTTAAAGTTGAGAAAACGTATTTACCGACAGGTCTGTATTTATGTTAACAAATAATTTTGCAATAAACATTTTTTAATGTTGCAATCATTTCATTGTCTTTGGTAGACCCCGATAAGTAAGTATATCAATTTTTAATTAATTTCATTAAGATTTGTTTGAGAAAAGTCGATTTATGTTTTGAAATTCAATGAAATTGAAGAATAAAAAAAATTCAGTTTTTGTCCATTATTATTAAAAATTAAAGTCCTACAAAAAAATTTCAAAGACAAAAAAGTTGGGCATTTTTATGCTCTATACGGTAGTATGTTTTAAAAATAAAAATTCCGACTTTTATTTTTTTATTTTTCCATTTTCTGACAGCTTGACTGGCTTGAATTTTTCAGTTCAAGCGCAGATCGAGTTATTGGACGCGGGAGCTCAATTATTCTCGGTTTTTTCTCATCAAATTTAAATTTATTTGGTTTTAAACATAAATAAATCTACAAATGGCTTCAAAAATATTTATTAGAGTTGTGGGATGCGCCTTAAGCTCTCCCTCTTTTCCCCCGTACTTTGTGAACTATAATTTGGCGACGAGTGTAACGACTCAGATTTCGTTGGTATTTTGATAAGTGAGGTGTGCGAGTAGGAATTGCGACAGTGAGGAACCTCGTAATAGAAATCGGAGAGATGTTAATAAATGCGACATAATAATTAAATAAGAATATTTATTGCTGCCTGCACCTTCTACTGGAGTTCGTGACTTTTGGTTCTACTTTCATATCAGGAACTTGTAGAATTTCCATAGTGGTGACCCCGACAATACGAACGCCATTTTTACAACGTGCAACAAGTGCGAGCAAATTGAATATTAACAATCTATCAACATCCGAAACATCTTTAATGGCAATTCTTAAAGGAAACATCTAACCAAGAGAAAATATTTTTCACCAAACAATTTTACGAGGAGTTTGAGGTAATTAATATTTTAACAAGAAAATTCTTGCCATGTGGCCATCATATCACCTCATACAATATATCACACAAACAACTCCTAGTCAAGACATTGCACACTTCTAAAAAATCAAGAAAAAATCGACCAACAAATTACACAAAAAAAAAATAAATAAATAACGCTTACAAAAAAAAATTAAATCAACGAGACGAGAAGCAGAATCCAATACGAATTCAACTCTACTTGGACATCGTAGCTGAGACAACCATTTTTCGGGTGCTGACTGATAAACCAGACGAATAAAGGACGATCATTTTTTTTCAACCTGGAACATCGTAAAACATCGCCTGAGGTTTCATCGACTTCAAGCTCTGCCACGAGGCACGATCAACGCAAGGAACTGTCGTCAAAGCCATCATCAGTAGTCAAGAAAATTCAGATAAGCATTCTTAAATTTCAATAATAATAACAATAATAATTTTCATTAACATTTTTATATAAATACTTTTTATTAAATTTAATATAATTAAATTAAAATTCTTTTTTCAAAATCAATTTAAAAATACAATATGCTAAAATAAAAATTTATATCTGTACAAAATAATTTTTCTTAAATTTTAAAGTTCAAATATTACTTTTGTTTTAACACGAAAGTAAAATTTTTAATTCATCAGAAAATAATATTTCACTATTTGCTTCAACGACATTTATTTTCTCAATTTCTAATCACCATGTTTATAACGTGTAACAATACAACGACCTTGATGGCTTATTAATTCTGTTTATACCGGTATGCATCATCAGCATGATTTTGGAAGAATATAAAATAAAATATTTCGTAATATTTCAGAAAAATAATTTTCGAGTTCTGTGATTCAAAAGTGAATTATTTATAAAAACAATAATTTAGCGTAATTTTTTTCGAGTCATGATGTCGATAGTTTGAAATAACGGATTGAATATTCTTGAATTAATTTTAATTAATTATACTAAGGATTTCATATCTCGTGTTCACAACTTTATCGATAAGATCTATCATGATTTTAGAAAATGCGTCGAATTAATAAATAAAAAATAAAAAAATTAATAAATAATAATAGTACATTTTGAAGATTTACGTTGATGATGCATACCCGGTTGTCTCTATCTACGATAATAATAAAAAAACATAAACAGATAAATTCGATTTGATTTTATAAAAATTAAAGATAAAATATTTTTTTTTTATTAATAATTTAAAGTTATAAAAATAATTCAATACATTTTTTTACATTAATATTAAAATTTTATCAACCTCTGATTTTTTTATTTTCACATATATATGGATATAACTTTTAAAGAATATTAATAAATTCAATTTAAAAAAAAAACTGTTTCTCTAATTGTTCGCCCGAGCATATTTATAAGGTTTGACGTTATTTAAACAAATTCTTATTCAATCTCAATATATTTCAGTGTATAATAAATATGGTCATTACTCGTGGCGACGAAGAACGTATTAGATTAGCAGCTCAAAACGATAACATGGATCACGAACGACTTGCAGCTCAAGCACAATTTGAACAACGACAACAAGAACTCGATAGGCGAGAACAAGAATTAATACAACGTATAGCGGATCATGAACAACGCGAGCGTGACTTGGCAGAACGAATTGTCGTGCAAAACGGAATCGACCATAATCCTGAAGAAAATCAAAACGCACTTCAACCTCCGGGCAACAATGTAGCAGCCATCGGTTTGGTAAATATGCAACCAAACGGTATAGACAATCACCGTAGTATCAAATTACCCAAACTATGTGCAAACGAACCCGAATTATGGTTCGTTCAAATTGAATCTATATTCACTAGTCACAATATTAATGCCAAAGCCGAAAAAACTCAGGCCCTTCTGGCAAATGCCGACGGTGATTCGTTAAATTGCGTCAAGCATATAATTATGGCAAATCCTCCACCTGCAGATTCATACACTCAAATCAAGAATGGAATAATTGCACACTTTTCGGTTTCTGACGAATCTCGCGTTTATCAATTACTGCGCGGTGATGTTATCACATCCGGTAAACCATCCCAAATTTTAAATAGATTGAGAAGTTTAAATTCCGGTAATATTAGTGAAGACGTTTTAAAAGCAATTTTTCTTACTAAACTTCCTAACCAACATCAACTCGTGCTCGCATCGTCAGGTAATGTATCGTTAAATGATCTAGCAAAAAAGCTGACCAAATAGCCGAAGTCGATCGCGTTAACAATACTACCATCTCAGCCGTATCTAGTACATCAGAAAAATCAGAGGAAAAAAAAAATTTGAAACTTTAGTTGCTGAAGTAGCTTCTCTAAAAACCGAATTTGAAAAATCCCATAATTCACGAAATTTTAATAATTAAAGATACGATAATTATTATTATTATAATCGAGGTCGTAGCAATTCACATCGCGGATACCGCGGACGTTCTAATTTTTGGCGTGGTCGATCTTCTTTTCGAGGTTATCAAAATGGTCGATCATTTGGTAGAGGAAGAGGCAATCGAGGCTATTATTATAATAATAATGATAATAATAGAAGCCGTAGCACATCTAGAAACGACAATAACAAAAATGATTATAGAAAACGCGATCGTTCCCATTCCTCGGGAAACGATTAAAGCCGCAGTGTAGCGAGGCAAATTCTGCGAGCATCGAATCCCGTCGCCTCCACATAACTGATAAAAAAACCGGGTGGACATTTTTAGTCGACACGGGCTCGGATTTATCCATTTTACCCGTTCGCTTAATAAAAAGAAATAAACCATCTCAAGTTATTCTATACGCGGCGAATAATACAAAAATTAAAACTTACGGAAATAAACATTTAATATTGAATTTGGGATTAAGACGGGAATTCTCGTGGAATTTTAGTGTAGCCGAAGTACCTCGTCCGATTATTGAAGCTGATCTTTTGGCACATTTTGGCCTGTTAGTCGATTTGAAATCACATAGATTAATTGACCCTCTCACACGGTTCAGTTGTGTGGGTAGTATTAAAACCGCATTACTAGCAGGAATAAGTCTAATCGATAATGAATCCCATTATGCGAATTTGCTTCGAAAATATCCAGAAGTTATTAACGTAAATTTTCCCACTATCGTAAAGTCGGAAAAGGTCATGCACCATATCGAAACAACTGGCCCCCCCTCCGCTCAAAAAGCTAGACGATTAACCCCAAAAAATTACGTGCTGCTAAAGAAATACTCGGTAAATTGTGTAAAGCTAATGTATGCCGACCATCTAACGCTTCTTGGGCCGCTCCATTGTTAATGAAATTAAAAAATATGGCACGTGGAGACTTTGCGGAGATTACCGTCGTTTGAATACGCAAACAATTCCAGACAGATACCCGGTTCCTCACATATATGACGCGACAGCAAATTTGCGCGGTAAAAAAGTTTTTTCGAAATTGGACTTATATCTCGCGTACCACCAAATACCAATCTATCCTCCGGATATTCCGAATACTGCAATCATAACTCCATTCGGTCTCTTAGAATATCTCGTTACGACATTCGGTTTGCGAAATTCAGGACAAACCTTCCAGCAATTTATACATGAAGTATTGAAGGATTTGGATTTCGTGTTTGTTTATATAGACGACATCTTAATTTTTTCAGAAAACGATAAAGAGCATAAAAAACACTTAGAAGAGGTTTTCGAACGATTACGAAAATATCTATTACGAATTAATTTATCAAAATGCAAATTTGGTTTACCGGAAATTGAATTTTTGGGATATACGATTAACGCGGACGGAATTAAACCGACTAAAGAGAGAGTTTCGGCAATTGTAAATTGTCCCAAACCGCGTACCTTGTCAGACTTGAGAAGATTTTTAGGAATGAGTAATTTCTGTCGTCGGAGTATGCGCCATGCCGCTCACCATCAGATTCCATTGTTGCAATATTTGCACAATGCTCGAAAAAATGACAAGCGAATTATTCCATGGAATCCCGAAACCGAAAAAGCATTCGAGGAAGTAAAAAACGACATTGTAAACGCAACTTTGCTCGTTCACCCTTCGGAAAACGCAGAAACGCGATTAGTTACAGACGCCTCGAATTTACATAGGTATAGGGGCGGTTTTAGAACAATTTTTGGACGGACAATGGAAACCCCTCGCATTTTTCTCGAAAGCTTTTAACAAAACTCAGCGCAATTATAGCGCATATGATCGAGAGCTCACCGCGATTTATCAAGCTATTAAACATTTTAAAAATCTTTTACAACCTCACGCATTTAAAATAGTCACAGATCACAAGCCCTTGATCTACATGTTTACGCAAAAATCTGATAAAATTTCCTCACGTCAACAAAATCAAATTTCAATTATTTCTCAATTTACTTCATGGATCGAACACATTTCTGGCGAGAGAAATGTAATAGCAGATTCTCTTTCGCGAGTAGAGTCAATCGACATAACGAATCTCGATTTGCATAAATTATCTGAATTACAAAAAACCGATGACGATATTAAAAAGTTTCATGTATCGAAAAATACGGGACTTAAACTGCGCGAATTACAATTCGATAACGAGAAAATATCAATTATTTGTGACATTTCAAACGGTGTACCGCGCCCTTTCGTTCCATTAACTTTACGTAAGTGATTCTTCGAAATTTTTCATTTTCCCGCTCACCCGAGTGCCGGTGTATTGAGTCGTACGATAAAAAAGAAGTTTGTTTGGCCATTTATGCACCGTGACATTAAGAACTGGTCTAAGGATTGTTTTGATTGTCAAGCCTCAAAAATAACCAGACATACGCGCGTTGAACCGAACCATTTTACACCTCCAAACTCACGTTTTCTTCACATACACATAGATTTGATCGGTCCCTTACCATTGAGCGAAGGTTTTACCTATTGCCTCACAATGATAGATAGATTTAGCAGATGGACTGAAGCAATTCCCTTGAGGGATATTAGAGCTGAAACCGTTTGCCGCGCATTCTACGATAATTGGATCGCGCGTTTTGGCGTTCCTGAAATCGTTTCAACCGACCAAGGAACCCAATTCGAATCGCGACTTATGCGCAGTCTATTAGAAGTGACCGGTTGCCATAGAATCCGGACCACTCCATATCATCCTGCATCAAATGGGATGGTCGAGAGATGGCACCGGTCACTTAAATCAGCAATTATGTGTCATGCTAACGACCTATGGACACGATCACTTTCGACCGTCATGTTGGGCCTGAGATCAAACTTTTTGAAGACAAATTGTGCGAGCGAACACCTAGGCAAACGATTTAAAAATCAATAATAAACAAAGTGATACATAACTTCACTTTGCAATAAATATTTTTTTTCTCGCTCAAACTATATATGTGAAATAAAAATCATAAAGTAAGCTACGTAAAGAAAAATTAAATTGAACAAAAATTTGAATAATCAAAATTAAATACTTGACGTCATGAAAAATTTTTAATATTAAACAAAAGGCCAAAAATAAAAACTAAATAACTTAATAAGCGCTTTATATATAATTAAAACATTATAATTTATAAAAAAGAACGAAAAATTTAACTCAAATTTTTAACAACGATAATTACAATAATTTATATAATCAAATCGAATCAAATTTATTTGTAATTAGACTGAACAATTGTAAGCTATGTTTATTTTCCAAGATATTTTTTTTTTTTAAACGAAATATGACAATCTCCGAAAAGAATAATTGTAATCTTATCTAGTCAAAAATATTTTATAAGTCACCACAAGATTTCATATAGATTAGAGAAAGCACACACTCAAAGAGTAAAAAAAAACTACGATATATCTATGTACAAAATATTTAAATAAATTTTATTATTAACGTTATCACTCGGAAGGGGGTGTGTGGGATGCGCCTTAAGCTCTCCCTCTTTTCCCCCGTACTTTGTGAACTATAATTTGGCGACGAGTGTAACGACTCAGATTTCGTTGGTATTTCGATAAGTGAGGTGTGCGAGTAGGAATTGCGACAGTGAGGAACCTCGTGGTGGAAATCGGAGAGATGTTAATAAATGCGACATAATAATTAAATAAGAATATTTATTGCTGCCTGCACCTTCTAATGGAGTTCGTGACTTTTGGTTCTACTTTCATATCAGGAACTTGTAGAATTTCCATAGAGCTTTTATGAATAATTAAATTCTTTTGATGAGTTTCCTTAAATTTTTTGAAAATAATGTTTTTTAATAATTTTTGCATTAAAAATTTGGAAAATAATTAAATTAAACAAAGAATTTTTTCAATTTTTTAAAATAATCTTTTCTGTTCATAATTATAATTGAAAATTTGATTACACTGAGAAAACTGGAATATTGGACTAAACATCTGGAGGGACAAATCGTTCATATTTGAGAGTTAGCTATTAGATAGCAATCTAAATGTTCAAATACACCATTGACAGATATTCGTGCCATTTCTCTTGGAGGGAAAATGAGTTTATAACAGAGGGACAAATTAACCATCTTGAGAAATCCCTTCCTTATCCGGCGCAAAATGAATAAATATGGCAACCTAACCCCTAAATTAAATACATAAAATGTCAGAAAAATAATTTCGCGCGCATCAGATCGTACACATTTTCTGCGCAACTTTTAACCCTCAGATATAATGAGAGAGAATATACAAGTAGATTTCCATTATCAAATCAAAATTTATTTTTCATAACGCGGTGCAAAAAAGGGCACTTTTTTGCACCTTGTTATGAAAAATATCGTTCGTAACTAGTGCTAGCAGTTGCCAATTTTTGAACGAGCACTTTTTTTGGAACAAACTGTAGGCCTACAGTTTGTTCCAAAAACAGTACTTATTCAAAAATTGACAACTGCTCGCACTCGTTACAAAATATACTATTAGAAGGTCTATTTAACTCTCTTTATAAGCAAAGGAAACATACACTTTTTGAACTTCTGAATTTGACTCTCCAGTTTTCTCAGTATATTCAATTTTTATTAAAATTGTATCGACAATAATTGAATTTCTGCAAAGAATTTTACTATTTATAAAAAGTAATTGAATCCTTCCAAAAAATGTTATTATTTTTTTTAAAAAAATTGAATTCTTGCGAAGAATTTTATTAAAAATTTTTGAAAATAATAAGCAGTAATAATTAATTATTTACTTAATAAGTTCAAAGATGTTCAATTATTTGTTTATAAAAATTCAATTATCTTAAAACAATAAAATTAAAAAATTTCAAAAATCTTATTTTTCAGAATTTTTAAAAAAACATGAATAGGGGAGATTAGGTGCGGTTGTTACGCTGTGCAGTTGTTACAAATGGAATATCTCAGAAACAGTTAGTTATAGAGATGGGGTTCCAAAGAAAAAAATGTTTAGTTTTTATGTACGAACTTACTGCAATATGTTTAAAAATTATATGCAAGCTTTACAATAGTAAAAAAAATAGGCATATTGGTTTTTAGAGGCCAAAAGTAAATATATCTCTGCCTGATATTTTTTAAATAATTAATATCAATTCTCTGAGGATTAAACTTTAAAAAACTGCCTTGGTTGACCACATTTAGTGTATACTTTTTTAATAAAGTGATTTATTGTAAAAAGTTTACCTGTTCTGCAGTTGTTACAAGTGATAATGAGAACTGATATTTTTTCCAATATTCGGCAGATTCGTTTAAAATGTAAAAATTTGTCAAAAATGTAATTACACTCATTTTTTATGAAAAATCTCATGGTTTTTCTAAATTCGTCTTCAAAATAAATAAAAAAAATTTTTTTTTAAGTTTCTTTCATTTCGAAACAATATCTATTAATGCTACCATCTCTATGGAACCGACATTCACTTTGTGCAGTTGTTACAATTTACACGCTGTCACTTAAATGCTTGTAGTTAATTAAATAATAGATATAGAGCTAAATAAATTATGGCCTTTTTAAACTAGATAATATACCTTTGATTTAATCGTTTGACCAAACAAATTGGAGTTAAACTATAATCACAGTAACTGTTTTTATCAAAATTGTAACAACTGCACCTAGTCTCCCCTACATTAGATTGTGACTTTTAATCAAATCCTTTAACAAATTTAATTATTTTTAATTGAATTTCATAAAATTTCTATTAATTCGATAATATTTTTTAAATTTATTTACATAGGGGAAGTGTGCCGGTTGTGGGCACGCTCCGGTTGTGGGCACCCTTACGTAAACTTCGACGGCAAGCATACTTTACTGATCTAAGTATTGCAAGTCGTGTTCGTTGACAATACGGACTTTTCGTATTGATAACGAAACAAATATATG